ATGAATTAATAAATGAATTGTTCTCATCAGAAAAACAGGACCCAATCATTAGCTCCAAAAACCTTCTGAAAACCAGAAAAGCTACAACAAAGACACTTCCCTTAAGTTGGTAACAGTCTTTTAGTTAATACAGAAGTTGTAAATAAGAAAAATGAAACTAAAAGGCAAGACAATGAATTGTCAGAAATCTGAATGTAACACCAAAGAGGAAAATAACTGTTTTTTTAAAGTGTTGCATTTATCTAAGGATCAAAACACTGCATAAGTCTACAATCAAAAGCAATGTTCATATTTAGAATTCTAATTTCCATAACACTATTAACTCCTGCTATCTAATTTTATTTCAGAATTTTATGTCTGACATTCCGAGAAAGTCTCAACCAGGAACGAACACATATAGAAAGAGAAAGCACCTACAAGCAGAAAATGCTTCCAATCACCCTCTAAAATTAAAACCAAAAACAAAAAGAGCTAAGTCTGCCTGCTCGAACACAGCCACAATCCATGCACCGCACTTATTCTGAGGTAAGCCTCCTACAATTCAATGCAGACATCAATTTATTACCTAGCTGTGTTTGATTTTCATGTTCCTTAAATTTTATTGTGCCAGGAGTGGGGCCAACAAAAGATAAAGTAGAGCAAAACTCTAACAATTGCCTCTGTAATTTTATCTTGGGTTTCTTTTATGAGTAACTGCATGCCCAATTCTGATCTCCAAGTAATGTCACAGTAATAAAATCAAACTAACTCCTCCTTTCACACACATTCCGCCTACACCACATTGATAAAATGCAGAATTCACTCATTACTGACCCTAATAGAGATCATTACTAAAATTGTTTTCTCCCCAAGGCTGTCAATCAATCAGTAGGTCAAAAAAAAAAAAGGATAAAGAGAAAGATCTACATGTGATATCCACTTTCCCCCATTTCAGCCACTTTCTTTGGAAAATTGGGCTGCTCCAGGAGAAAGAAAAGAAAACATGGACCAGCCCTCTGAGGAAAGGTTTCCCAAGGCCTGTGATTTGCTGACATGTGGGGAGTTATGATGCTGTGAGAACAGCCCTGATGACAGCAATACTATCCCACACTGCTCCTTAGATGTCCAGAACAATCCAGAGGATAATGATAAACTTCATATGTGAGGGGAGAGGGCCCCGCCTGACCCACCAAGCTGCCAGGCACATGAAAGAAACAATATAAACTTGATTTAAATGTGGGATCCTTTCCAGAAGGCTTAATTATCCATTGTATTACCACACTCCTGTTATTCAGCAGTCTCTTCTGTCTCAGACTTAAGTCCAGCTACAGCATTTCTTTGGAACAAATTCAGGGAAAACTCAAAACTAACTAGATCGCAGAGGACTCAGTTAAATGGGGAACAACAGCCATATAAATAGAAGTCCCGCAGGCTGGAAAATATTTGGGTTGTCTGGTAGCTTTCAGGAACGGGGAGACAGCTGACTCCAGCCCCTCAACATCCACACCTATAGCACCCCGATGCTTGATGCGATATGGCACATCTTCATCAGCTTTGTAAATGCCATCATCCCACCTAACCAAGCTAGATTTCTTTCACGACTTATTGAACAGCAGATGTGGACTGCAGTTTTACTCTCTGAGGGTTCACAACTCAGTGTTGGCCACTCTTGCCTTAAATGCTTGCTTTGGATAATCAGAAGATACATGTATTCTAAAGGGTGTCATAATGCATGAATATGACATTCTGAAATTTTCCAATGAGCTGTCCTGTGCCCAAGATGCCCTTGTTGGGTTTTTTTTTATTAGAAAAACTTGATGTTTGACATTATGAATATATAACAACTAAGTGTTAAAATACAGTTTTCACCTTTTTAACTGGCTGCCTGATACCATGAATACACAGTCAATAATCCAAATGCAGAACTGCCCAACACCCAGAAATGCACATACAAACGGCTAAGACAATTACAAGCCCACTCTGTTAATATATAAGCCCATTGAAGACTTCAAACGAACCATTTATTAGCCTTTCATTTCAATGTGTAGAAATAACATTTGGACGTTATTAATTTTGGAGAGGAAGATGCTGCCTGAACATACACTCTTTCTCAAGTGCCCCATAATTTAAGATCTCATCATTGCCCTACCACTTAACTTCCATCTCATTTTCCTCTCCATTTATCTTATCTGGGCTTCTAGTTTTTAAAAGATCCACCTCCCCTCTCCACCCCCCAAAAAAGGCAAAGTTACTTTCATAAATGCAGTAGGGAGGAAAGGTGTGATTCTGTCCTGGCTATTGTGTAGAGTTGGGTTGTGTCCCCCTTGGGGATAAAAGCCTGGTCATCCCACATGGCCTCTGGGCAATACTGAGTCCTGCACTCTTACAGAGGAGACTTTCAAGAAATAGGTGCCAGTTAAAACAACACAGATGGAAAAAAGTGCTAGGCTAGAAGTCTCCTGAAGGCAGGCTTTTGACTTCTGAATATTCTCTCCTCACCTAGTCCAAAGTTTTGCATATAGAAGCCCAATAAAAAGCTTGTTGAATAAAGGAATGTGCCCTCTGCCTAAATAACAACAAAAAGCAATTTTCTTTCTCTCGTTCAGCCACTATCATAGAGGTTAATACCATTCAGATTATCAAATAAGTTAAAATGCTATTTTATTAGAAGAAGAGTAGAAATTGGGATGTGGAACAGAGGAGAAAAGGGGAATTTTTAAAAAGGAACAAATTCATCTAAGTGAATCTAAGAAGCAATGGAAAGGCTGGGCACAGACCAGTAATGACGGTGCCATGAGCAAAAGAGTACCAGCAACAAGATTGCTTCAAACTAGATTTTTACATGAAAATTATAAGCCTCCATTGTAACATCAACACCTTTCTGAACAATGTAGGTCACACCCCTCTATGAAATCTTCTTAGTTCTGGCCAACAGCTGGCAAGTTGATCCCTGCAATTTTCCCTTTGCAGAAATAGCTTTGTGCGGGGAGAACTGACCCTCGTGGGCTAATAAGCCCAAACCCCACCAAACCTGAAGGGCTGAGCTGGAAGGGACATTGTTGTGTTAAGTACTTTCCAACAACTGTTTCTTCTCCTCTTGACACAGCCTGACTTCCTTAAAGAAGATCTGACGGCCAGACAGCTGTGTTGACCCTTAAGCCTTCTTTGATTCGTGATTTTTTTTTTTTAACAAACAGAATAGAAATTCACAACTCAAATCCTTTCCTAAGCTCCGATACTTCTGAGTTTGCTCCTGTTGTGCCTGAAGGATGTGGACACTTCAGTGATTGGTAAGCAGAAAAATAAAGATTGGGTCCACACAATAACAAAACCCTCAGATGAGAAACGCGAGAGAAAAGCGAGCAATCCAGCCCGCAGCTTTATCCGAAGATGATACATGGAGCTGTGTGGGTGAAATCCACTTCATTACCTAAAGGTTGTGTGCTTTTACACTCAAGTCGCTGTGGCAATAGACAGACTAGCAAGAACAGACACGGGTACATCTGCTTTCAAAAAATGCTAACCATAATAACTACTTCGTGGAGTGTTCACTTCTTTACATTTTTCTGTACTATCCCAACTCATCCAAGATTGGGCACATATTCTTTTTCGTTCTGAAAAATGCAGACGTATTATTTTCCCCAGACAATACTAAAAAATGCCTAGGGTACTCTCCACGTAGGGGTAAAATTCAAGCGCTTTGTGGCAAAAGAACTCTGCATAGTGCAAATAATTTTAGTGTTGTCCGTAAGTCTAATACCTCTGATCCTGTGTGGTAAGTCTCATAGTCCTGACAACATAGAAACGAACATTTTTCTGCTCTTTCTGGGTGCTGTCGCACACCCGCTTTCACTGTGTTTTCCCTGGAACTGCTTTTCCATGCACGCCAACCCTCCCTGGGCTGCCGTCATAAAGTGCAGATCCTTTTATTCAAAATTCTGCGCGTGCACGCGCGCGCCTACAGCTCCCAGCCCTAATGTATCAAAACAGTGGCCTCCCTTTCAGCCACTTCTCTCTCCTTCAAACCCCTCCACGGCCCTGCAAAGCCAATGCTCCTACTCATTAGCTATTGTCACAAGGAAAAATTAGTTCCCTCTCCTCTTATCCTCTGAGTTCCTTGCCCGGCGAGAACAAGAAAATCTGTCTAGCTCCCACTGCCTGTTCTCCTTCAGGTTTTAGGCATTACAGAAATGTAGATTCGAAATAATCCACTTTCTTAAACACCTGGCTCGGAATCCTCCTCGAACACACCAGAACGTGCAGGTCCACTGGCAGGAGCCCGCCGCGTTGGCAGGCAGCAAAACACACCCTGACCGCAGCTAGGGTGGAGGCGCAGGATCGAGGAGGGGGCGTCAGGTCGGTCCCCAATTTCTGTCGGTCCCCAATTTCTGTCCTAACCGCCCCTGCGCCCGAGGGGGAAAAGGGGACGAAGGGGGATAGGGAGAGGCAAAGCAACCGGTCATGCGCTTAGCTCGGAGCTGCAGCAGCGTCCCGACTCTAGTGGACAAAACCGAACAGGACACAGCACACAGGGGACAGAAGCCAGGGGCTCCTGACAGCCTCCTCGCCCCGCACCAGCACGAGGGTGACCCAGACACCTGAGTAAGATGGAGCGGGAACCAGCAAAGAGGCAAGCGTCACTGATAATTCCCACATTCCACCCCAGCCCACCCCCAGGGGCACCAGGTAAACAGGGAGACCAAGCCCACAAGGGTCAGAGACCCCAAAGCAGTGGCGGCTGGGAACGGTCGAATCGAGGAAATAAGGCCTAAAGAGAACTGAAAGCTAAGTGAGCAGATCCGGGACAGCGACCACAGCGCGCGCTTCTGCGGTGCGGGGACCAAGGCTGCGCTCACTGGTGCTGATCCCCGCTGTCCAGGGCTGTACACAGGGCGCGGGTGCAGGGGAGTTGTCTCTGGAGTGTGGGTCCCTCTCGGAAGAGGAGAGGGTAAAGAAAGGTCGAAGTCGCGACGCAACCGACGGCGACGCGGAGGGCGCGCTTCGGTGGCGCGGCCACTTACTTCTCGTAGTCATACTTGCAGTAGAGCTTCTTGTCCCGGTAGAAGCAGGTGGTCTCCAGGGGCTCTTTGCAGGAGGCGCACTGCACGCACTGCTCATGCCAGAAGCTGTCGTTAAGCCGCAGGAGAAACCTGTCCGAGATGACCCGCTGACAGCCCTCGCAGACAGACTTGGGGCTTACCGCTCTGCCTGCAGCCGCAACAGAGATCGCGGGTGAGCCGCCCTGGCCGGTCAACCCCGCAAAACCCAGTGGAGACCCGCTCTCCATTCCTTCAGGCCCACGGATTCCCCACCCCCACCCCGGGCTCCAGCATGCCCCCATCCCCGGGAGAGTGCTCAACTCATCAACCAAGCTGGGACTTGGAAAAATCTAGCCAATCTAAGTGGCGGCGTTTCTAACAAACCAGGACTTCGTGGGAAGTTCGTTCCTAGTTAGGGAGGCGATAGAAATTAATAAGCAGCTCTTAATTGTCAAACGTACCCAGGTACGCGCGCGAGCGTGAGCGCATCCTGGAAAATTAGGTTAAAAATAAATGTGCGCTCCCAGGTTTATCGCATCTTAATTAATCTAAATCACTCACTATGCTTGTCTGTCTTGACTTTTTTTAAACAAAGAATGAGTAAGAACCATCCGCTTTTTTCTTTCGTTAAAACGCAATTTTATTTGGGGGGGGGGTTGGAACAGACTTTAAAATTTCTTTTATCTTCTTAAAATGTTCCGTGGGTACACGGGAAAAAAAATACCACGTCGCCCCCAGGCAGGCACAGTGTTCTTCAAACCAACGAACACCCAACTGCTGCCTCTTGGCGGCCGTGCAAATTGCAGATGGGTTGTTCGTAATTAAGAAGCGTCAAAATACAGGGAAGAAAAAACAAACGGTTAAAAAGCCGCGCCTGGAGACCTCCGGCCCGGACTCCCTATGTCAGTCGGGCACGCGCAGTAGCGGTGCGTGGCTTGAACCGTTCTGTCCTGCTCCCTGGAGTATTTGTTTGGTTCCTTGAGCTTGAGGAAGCAGAGGTGCCTTCTTCGGGGTGCTACTTGGCCGCCTTGGGTGGCACATTTCACAGCTATTTCAAGGTGGCCCTGTCCCACGGTAACAATGCCCTTGCGCATGCTGTGCCAAAAGGCAGACCCCGGCCCATTTCCCTGCAATACACTTCTCGCTTTCTCCTTCGGAGTTGGAAGCGGAGCGGGTGGCTTTGGGGAGTGGGCAAGGAGGGCCAGGAGAAGCAGCGAGCTGGTTCTCAAGGCGAACCTTCTGTTTTCTTTCAGCCGGGTCTCGGCGTCCCCGGCCACGACTGGGACGTTGGGAGCCGACGTGGGCCAGGCGGGAGGCTCCGGGCTAAATGTGACGCCTGCGGAGGACATCCCCAGGAGCTCCCGCCGAGCCGGGGCCCCTAGGTTCGGAGGTTGCGGAAAGGCGCGTTGGAAGAAGGGAGCTCTAGGTGTAGGTGCGTGATTTTGATTCGTCTGGAGTGTGGGGAACCTGGGGATGCCTCTCTGTATGAAGTGTCTCCAGCCGAAACGTTTTAACCATGGCCATGGCGGTCCCGAGGGAGGGAAAGAGCCAAGAGATTGAAACGACAAAACGAAAAACTCCTTCCCGCTTAAAAAAAAAAAATCCCTAAACATAAAACACCTGCTCCCCAAACCTGAAAAGCGCCATGGGCGGGGTAAAACCCGGTAATGAGAACCCTTGGCCTCAACTCTGGGAGCCCCGAGCCTGACGCCCTTCGGGGGCCATTGACTCGCTGCTCCTCCGCGGTCACCGAGGGGTTGGGGCGGGGGTGGAGGGACCCGCTGGACCTGAGATCTAGCTCCAGTTAATTAAAGCCGAAGCGAGGGCCCCGCCGCGCGGGCTAATCCCCGCGCTGCGCTGCCCACCGGCCCGGAAAAGCCCCTCGGCCGTGCCCAAGACTGAAATTGGGGTTGGGGTTGGTGGGGGCGAGAAGCTGCTTCGAACTTGGGCGCTCCCGGCCTCGGCTTTGAGATGCTTGACACAGGCCTCCGAGGAAGGATGGCATTTAAGAGACGTCCATCAGCTCCGTGATTAAAAAAACCCAGCCCTGGGTACTTTTAATCACTTGCCACTCAGACGCCTATGAACTAGCTCTCCGCTCCTCTCGACTAGAGGGAATTCAGTGCCCCGCGCCTGAGACCTGGGGCGGCTTGTGGGTTTTATTTGGGGAGGGACGACTCCAGAGGACTGACGGAGCCAGGGAGTGGGCTCAGCTGAGTGCGGGAAGAGGGACTGTAGCTCCTCGGTCGCCTAGCGGGTCCCAGAGAGCTGGGCTCCAAGCTCCGGACCTGGCGGAAATAAGGTGCGCCCGGGGCGCGTGGCCTGAACACTCACCCAGCAGTGAGGAGAAAGAGGCCGAGGTCTCAATGGCGCTCTGGAAGTTCTCCTCCATCTTCAGGCCGTCCAGCATGTTCGGGCCGCGCCGGGAGAACCTGTAAGTGGAGAGGAAACCAGGCGTCTGGCGTCCGTGCCCCCGGGACTCGGCGCCCGCAGCTGCCACACCCCTGGGAAAAGACCGAGGGAGTGTCCAGGGCCACCAGAATGAGCCGGGGGGATAGAGTCCAGCCAAGAGCAGTGAGGGATGGGAGGAGAGAGACGAGGCGCAGCGAACTGCTCAGACTGATCTGATTTCACTTGAAGTCAACGCGTTTTGTATTTAGGCCTCCGCCCCCCAACTGCGTTTCTCCTACTCCAACCCTCCTCCCCTGTCCCCAGCCTCAGGTTTCCCATCCCGAGTCCGGCTCCGCCCCAACCTGTACGAACGCGGGCCCTAGGGAGATGTCTGCGGGAAACCAGCTGCTGCGGTGTGATGGGCATCACAGCATTGGGTGTCCTCCCTCGCGCGGCCGGGCCCAAGCACGCGGGACGACGGAATGTGCAACCCTTTGCCGCGGTCGCCTGGGTGGGCCCTCACCTGCCTGGGCTCGGGAAGGGGCAGGGTAAGGGACTTGCGGAGCGTCCCTCTTGCTTCCGGACTCCTGGCGCGGCGCGCTGCTGGGGGGCGCGCGGGAGCTGGCTTGCGGGGCGCGTGGGGAGGTCCTCCCGCCGGTCGGCCAGTGCCGGGAATGTCTGGAGGAGCAGAGGAGTCGCCTCGGGGAGGAGCCGGGACTGGCCCGGCTCACTCTTGGATGCATTTCAATTCCACTTTCAGAAACACGCCCGCCAGAGCCAGAGCCCAGGACGGGCAGCCTTCCTTACCTGATGGGCGGGCGAGCTCGCCGCTGCCAGAGCGGAGTGGAGTTGCGGAGCGCCGCGGGAAGCTCCGGTCTGAGAAGGCGTTGCCCCCGCCGATGCAGCCCGAGCAGCCACCCCCCGGCTCCGGCGCGCCGGAGAGGGAGCCGGAGCGAACGCCGGCCCCTGGCTCTGCTCCTCGGCGCGCCCGGGCCGGGCCAGGACGTGGCCACGAGCGGCCGGCCTTCCCGGGACGTCCTGCCCGCCCGCGTCGCTCTTCAGGGGGAGGGGAGGGCCGGATGCTTCTCCGAGGCTTAGCGGAGAAGGCGGAGGCCCAGGGTCCTGGGTGCAAGTCGGCCCTGCTTCGCCGGGCGGATCCCGCCGTTTCTGACAGGGGCCGCTGCGCTGCGTGCGCGGCCGAGGAAAGGGGGTGGGGTGCGCAGGGCGGGGGGCTGGGAGCGCGTCCCGCGGCCGGGCTGCGGGGCTCTCTTTCCCTGCCTGGCTGAGCCGCCGATCTCGCGGCCGCAGCCCACTGCGTCCCTGCGCCGCCACAACCTCCCGGGCGCGCAAAGTTTCCTCCCCTCCACGTGGAACTGTTACCTCGGGGCGCCCCGGCAGGGCCTCCGCCGAGCTCTGCGCGCCACCTGGCCCGCGGCCGCTCTTCAGCCACTTACCGCTAGCGGTAACAGCGCGGCGGCCCACACCGGCGGCGGGGAGTGCCCCGAGCTATTGGCCGCGTGTGACTTGCAGGCGCCGGCAACCCCTTCTCCGTCGCCCAGGAGCTCCGGCAAGTTCCCAACTTCCACTGGGAAGCTATGGGACCCACAGCTGACGCTTGAACCAGGTCTGTGGAGAGATGGGCTCTGACCCTCTGAGGATGAACTCGCCAAGGCACTGAGCAGAGTCAGCTAAGGGGACGCCCTTAGGGAAACTCAGTACCTGGGGGGGAGAAAGCGTTCAGTTCCCTGAACCATCTACCTGAGCTCACAATGTCAGACCTGCAGCCCCTCCCAGGGGAGGCAGCAGACTCTCACTCTCAACAAATCCACCGTAGCACTGGCTGATGTTAGTGGAACACTTAGTTTCCTGCCAGGCGTGGTCCCATAGTCAACTCGTTCAGTCTTTACAACACTGTGAAGTGGAGGCAATTGTTATTCCAACAGTACAGGTGAGGGGAACAACACGGAGCCCCCTGGAAGCCATGTCCCAAGTTCAGTGGGATTCTCCAGGGGCCATACAGTTCCTAAACTGGACAGAGCTCACTTAGAATTGGAGGCACCTTGACGAAGTGAACCAGAAGACATGGCAGGTGGCAAGGGTTCTCCATGGCTGTCTCCAAGGCCTGGGCCCTTCCTCAGTTCTAAGGAGAAAGTGAAGTCAGCAGCTTGTCCCAGGGGAGCAGTGACCCCACTTGCCATCGTGTGTGCCACCAGCAGGCACCAGCTAACGCTGACTTCAGAGAGACAAGGGGGAAAGATTGAAGACTGTAATACCCTACAGCTGAAGACGACTTTGTACTTTTCAGGGTAGGTTCAGGTACATAATTTTGCTTGATCTCTCCAACAAAGCTATGAGGAAGGTAGAACAAATAGTTTTATCCATTGTTTCAGATGAGTCTTTGGGGCTTGGCATGGCTGGGAGATTTCTCTGACATGGCTCAGATGGTTTGTGGCATGCTTCTTAACACCTGACCTTGTCCTTACAACCACCCCAGCCTGGGCAGGGTGTGATATGTGTGTGTGTGTGTGTGTGTGTGTGTGTGTATTTATATATATGTATATGTATATGTATGTATGTATATACACACACAAGTATCCTGAGGATAATATAGGGGGAAATTTGCCAAGAAAAACAAAGTGAAGTAGAGAAAATACAACCATAAGGGAAATTTGCAAATGGCCAACAGAATTTTGGTTCCACTGAAGGTCTTGAATCTATGTAATACATTGATCTAGCAGTAAGAATGTTCCTGTGGTAGCAACTATCTGGAAAGTGGATAGATTCTTGTTTGTTCTGAGACCCAGCTTTTTCCAACAGTTCTTGCATCTGGAAGACAGCCTGATTAGTGTCGATTACACAAGTTTTGGGTAGGAATGTCTTTCCCCAGCTGGCCATTGGGCACTTCGGGATGGGGACCGGGTCTCATGACCACATTAGAAGCTGCTGTTGTTCGTGTAGAGCCAGGCACACAGATGGGTTGAGCAAATACCATTTCCTTGGCTGAGGGACGAGTGGCACTCTCGCTGTAGGTAGGAAGCCCTGCAGAGAAGGGGAGGGGCAGGATTGTGAGGACCTCAATTTCCATTCCCAGGTCTGCCACTGAGTTTGGGCCATTGGTTTGACTCTCTGGACATCAGGACCTGACATCTGGCTTGAAGACCCTGTGCAACATGATCTGAAAAGCCAGCAGGCTGGGCAGCAGCCCTGACAGCTTAGAGTGTGCTAACTCCAACTCCAACTGCCTAGTGGTGCCTAGGTGTGGACTTGGCTGATGTGCCTAAACCAATAAAGATGGAGTTTTCTTTGTTACAATTTATTTGAGGTTTCTTTCTTTTTTAAAAAATTTAATTTTTTACAATTTATTTCACCTCTGCCAGGTGGAGATCATGAATCCCACTCCTGCCCAGGACAGATTTGCTTCAGTCCTAGCCATTTCAGTGACATGATGGGTGGACAGACAAATGGAACGTCCTGATCATGCCTTGTGCTCCATTTTGATCTCAGATGCTGTCATTTTGCCTTCTAACGAAAGAAGTGTCCACAGAGTCACTATCCTGAAGTCTTTTATGACAGATAATCTGGAGTCCTTCTTTTAATGGAAAGATGCATTTGTGAAAATGAGGTGAATGGCATTCAGAAGAGATCCTTCCCCAAATTGTGCTTTTAGAGGTGGAAGTGATTTCAAGCACCTCTGGTCCAACTATTTAGTTTGCAATGGGTCAAAATAGATTTTCTGAAAGTTCCCACCCTCTGATTCATTGATTCCTCAAGGTCACCCATTCACAAAGTCAGATTCTGCTTTCAAAACCTTCAGATGAGGGGATAGCTGTCTATTCTGTCCACTCTTCTCTAAACCTGATACAGCTTTTCTGTGTCTCCAAGTTATGGCTCCCAGACCCATTACAACTTTCTGGTGATGATGTGTTCAGAGTCTCATTTCCTTTCTTGGGGGAATGAAATACCCATCAAGGCGACCAGATTTCAGGTCAGCATTTCCAGTGACTGCTGTTGACCCACACTGTATGCCTTAGGAGCAAAACCTTCTCAGTCCTTTTCTACATGGGCTGATAAAGACACATATCTGCCACATTGCACTTGTACAGTTAGCATATGGGCCGAGTGTGGCAGCGTGCACTGTTTGCTGCCAAGAGATAGGGCTCTGTTGTGAACATTGGGAATCTTGCATCTTCAAGCAGATCCCAAGAGATCTGGGAACCATGTCTTAAACCTAGTACTTTACTTTGAGGGGGAATTGTGAGGCCTTGTCAGGTTGGTCTGGAAGCTGCCATCATTGGCAGAAGTTACAAGGGTCAGTGAATGGGGAATATCTTTGGGGCCCATTGTGAACCTAGGGGCAGCTCTTCACATAGGAGGCCCCCAGATCCCACTCTGCCTTATCTTCTATCTGAGGTCAAAATGCAATTTGTAGATGGGCTGTAGACCTGCTGTGGACCTGTCCCTTTTGTGGAAGAAAACAGACAAATGAAACACACTAGACTCACAAGTCTCTGGGCTGAGATTTGGGGAGAGACTTGGGGATGAGGGCGTCAGAGACTGATGCTTGGTGGGAGGGAAGAGGAGAGGGAGGGGACAGACTTCCTGCTGTAGAGTGGAGATGACAGGAACATGTTTTTTTACTTTCCTCTTCTTGCTCTCGTTTCTGTGTTTTATTAAGGGAAACACAAAGGGAAAATTGTGTTATTTGTTACAAAGTGTCAAAGTGCATTTCTAGCAAGAGGAGAAGAAGCAGATACAGTACTGCCCAGACAGAGACAGCAATACTGTAACAGAGGCATCCAGAGGCTGGCTAGAGAAGGGATACACTTGAACTCCATGCTACCCTGAGCTCTGATTTCTTTTCCCGTGAGCCCCTGGTCCTGTGTTAACGTTCAGATCTCTCAACAAAGCTGGAGGACAGGCACCTCAGCACTTTCTAGGGTGAAAGGGGACATCCCAGCCAGCTACTGGAAAAGGAAGGAAGTCACATGGTGCAAATGTGGATCTCTCCCTAAGTGTAAGACAGATGCTCCTACCAACACAGTAAGAACAGCCTTGGGCAAAGATGGAGCTCAGCCAGACCTGCACAGATACCATTTAAACCCAAGGATGAATCCCAGGTCTGTCTGACTCCAGGAGCCATCCTCTCAACCATTCTACAGTGCCACACTCCCAGCCATACAGTGCAGCCTTTGGACCTTACAGTGGAAATAGCCACATACCTACTATCCTGGTCTCCATGCTCGACTGTGAGCTCTCTCAGGATCTAAGTCAGACACCTCTGTGATTCTCCTATGCACAGCACAGTGCTTCTGCTGGACTTCTCCATGCCGTGACTCAGTGTGCTAGAGAGAGCAGGTGTAGGCTTTCAAAAGACTTGCATTCAAACTCCAGCTCTGACATTTGCAAGCTACTTGACCCTAAATTGTTCAACCTATGCTTCTGTTTCCTTATCTGTATATGGAAAGGATAAGAGAATGCTCCAGAGTTTTTGTGACAGTTACTAGAGAGGGTGAGTGTGAAACACCCAACAGTCAGATCAACTTATCATTCCAATATCCTTTAGGTCACTTCCTAAATTCCCCACGAACAAGTGTATATTGCTTGTTGAAGGAAAATCACCTTGACTTTGCCCCATTTTCATGAGCAAACAGAATCCATGCCAGCATTCAGACCATGTCTGTGTGCCGAATGACAGCAGCTGTCACTGTGTGACTGAGGTGTTTCTATGCCTGGAATAGGCAGTGCTCTAATGGCTGGGAGGGGAGCCTTGCAGTTAGAATGGTGGGTCCTGATGTCAGAGTTAAAATCCATCCTTAACTCTGCCACTTATGTTGCCCTTGCTCCCCAAGCTTCAGTTTCCCAATATGATATATAGAGGGAATTATTGAGGTGTTTGTGTGCTAAATAAAACAGTGTATACAAAATACCAAGCACAGTCATAGGCATGTAGCAAGGGATCAATGACATAGCTGCTATCATTATCAATTTCATCGTCATTGAACAATAAGCTCCTCCAGGGCAGCATTTTATTTAAGTCCACAGCCCTACTACCTAGCAATTGGACATAGGTGTCCAAAGAATGTGATTCAAATTAAACTAAAGTGGATTGAAAACAGTCCTTGGCGGTCAGTGAAGTTCATGGGGCATCTGGCTCTTGGTTCTGGCCACCACTGACATGCCAATGCTTTTGGTGCAACCCCACCAGCTCCTGGCAAGGCTGCAGATTGTAGGCCCCCTGCATGAGCCCCGCACTCCTGTCAGGCCCTCTTTGACACCTATCCAGGGTACCCTAGGGGTGGGGGCTTGGAGATTAGAAGATGAGACACAAGGATAGAACACTTTAGGAATCCAAACGAGAG